GTCAGATATCATGTAATCCCTCCACTAGTCAGTCGTTAGGGCAGCAGAAGTCCATCACAAAATCTTTATTGTTCTATTGTTGAATCAATGATTTAAACTTTCAATGCAAAATTGGAATAAGTATTTAAAATTCGACAACTCAATTTGGCCATTTCAATTAAGTGAGACTAGATGTCACTAGACACTCATGGGATCCGATTGATAAACTCACCACTCCACTTCGGCTCCCAAATTTCAAAGTTTTTGTTTTAGATTATAGCAACAATTTTAAGGTAGMTCGGTGAACCGAACTTTGATTAAAAATATGATATGGAATTGTTGTAATGAACTGTTCTCTAGAAGCTTATTCARAAACTTCACATGAAATGCATGTTTACACAAAGATGGAGTTTCCCTTGGTCTCCTGCCAAGGCTTGTTTAATTTCCGCACCTGATTCTTCGTGATAACCTTATAACTTGTTTACTGTTGTCTTATCTTGTTCCAGAAAAAAATGGCCGAATCTACTATTATACATACACGTRCTTGAGCAATCAACTAAAATCCTTACTACTACACCGCGTCAAATCCCGGCTATATTTCGTTCGTGCAACTTTGCCATATATCTCATTTATATGTTTGCCTCAAGAGCAAAAGCTAATAAAGCCGAGCTTACAAGCTATCTTTTACTGCATATTAATACGCGAAACGAGTGCAAAAAACGGATATAAAATTATTCAATGACAAAAAAAGAAAGATATGTCCTAAAAGAAGTAAATACGTATTGTTGATATACATATATATCTTCAAATATCTAACCAGTAGGTATTCCAAGTTCTTTCCCTCCTCTTCCCATGCCATAATTCACGTTTCCTCGGATGAAAATGGGTAGATTTTTCGAATGTTCACAGTTTTTCGACTCGTTTTTGTATATTGAGGAAAGGATACTTTCATCCATCTTTTCCGGCAGATGTTTGGTCGGTAGGTCGATGAGTAAATATGAGATTTGAAGTGTTTTCTTTTAAAGTGATGTGCTGGTAGCCTGCGGAGGTTAACATGACAATCACGGCGTAGCGGAGAATTGATCAGAAATGAAGTAAATGGTAAAGGCCACGGCTACTAAAAATAGATATGGAAAAGCTTTATGGGATCGAAATGTGGACAAACATTGCAAATAAAGGCTTTTTGCAAAAAAAAGAAGAATATCAGTCTTTAAAAATTGACTGACCGACTGACCGACTGACCGACTGACCGACTGACCGACTGACCGACTGACCGACTNCTGACCGACTGACCGACTGACCGACTGACCGACTGACCGACTGACCGACTGACTGACCACAGGGAGCCCAATTTAGATTAAAGTGAATGGTGAAAATAAAATGGTATCTGATGCTGATCTCAGAGTATATATACATAAGATCAACCTAATCAGATACCATAGGAAAATTATATAGGAAAACAAAGGCGCGCGCGAAAAAAACGTTCTACTGCATTTTTTATTGATTTTTTTACTCTTTCGCATTACGGAGGACATTATCTCGATCTCGAATTTAAAAAATCATTAATTATTTGATTTTTCCGATTTTATTTTCAYCATTCACTTTAATCTAAATTGGGCTCCCTGTGGACTGACCAGAGTTTTTCTATTGCGTACATTTCCCCCACCCTCCCCTCCCTAAACTCACATTAGTCCTTGTGTGACTCGTTTGAATGTCAATGCTGGCGTGGATCCRCAGCAAATCCAGCGTGTTCACAAAAATTCACCAAAAAACACCAAAAATTCTCCTYATTTTCTTTCTTTTTTCTCCAAAATGCCTCTACTTTCTCCCGAACAAAGAGTGGCAATAGCAATAGGAGTCCCTGCAGTAGCTCTCCTGTTGCTTTTATGGTACAGAAGACGACAGAGGGCAGAAATATCGGACGATGAAGACGACGAAGATGAACAAGAAACGTCGAAGGTTTCAACTATTTTTGAAACTAAGATTGAAGTAAAAATCCCTCAAAATGTCGTTGGTTCTGTTATCGGCCGAGGAGGAGAAAATATCAAACAGATACAAAAGGAAAGCGGTGCTTATGTGAGATTTAAAGACGACGAGAAGGAGAAAGTTGAAGTTAGAGATGATTTTGATGCAACTCCACGAACACAAGACGACAAAATGAGAACAGTAGTGATAAAAGGCGAGAGAGAAAAGGCGAAAAAAGCTGAAATTATGATCAAAAAGGTTGTTTCTGACCAGCCTAAAACATTTACAATAGATTATTATATTCCTCAAAAGTCTTGTGGAAGGGTTATTGGCCGCGGAGGCTCAACTATCCGCCATCTTAGTAGAGTATCTGGTGCGTACATTTGTAAATATTTTGTGCTTATATCTGTACAAATGTCACATAAACCTAAATTGTTTTTATTAATGTTAATTAAGAAGGTGTGGATAATTTTTAGAATTACTGATATATACCCTCCACAGACCCTCAGCACCCCTTGGAAATTCCAATCCCCCTCCATAGGAGAAGTATGAATATTTTCTGGTACTACGAGATGTATGCTCCTCAGACCCTCCCCACCCCTTGGAAATTATATTTTTCTTGAATTACACAATATACCCTTCTCAAACTCTCCCCACCACTTYGCAATCCCAATCCCCCTCCATGGTCGAGGTGTGGATATTTTCTGGAACTACATGATATACCCTCCTCAGACCCTCCCCACTCCTTGGGAATTGTTGTCACTCTACAAGTGAAATACTTTTGTATTTTTGATACATTTCTTTAGGTGCAAAGATAACAATTGACAGGAGTGAAATAAGAAGTGATGAACGTAGAAAATGTACGATAAAAGGTACTACTGACCAGATAGCTAACGCCAAGGGACTCATTGATGAACAGATTGCCGAACATGAGCTCGCAATGGCTAGGAAACCATTAAAACAAAGCAAGACATTAGTACAACCAATACAGGAACAGCAAGGTTAGATTTACTAGCTTGAAAAGTGTTGTCATCATCATGCATCACTCATTGTGTTCGTCRGCATCACTTTATTAGTCATTATCAAYACCTCCCTTATATCAGTATTATCGATCAATATATTCATCACCATCATTACTATCAGCTATTGTCATTATCATGATAACCAATCATCTTCTGCTGTTGCCTTCATTGTCATTGTTACCACCTGAAATCAGCATCATCATCATCATCTACAATAYATATTACCAATAACAATGATAACAAGTACCATCAATACTTAATATTACAATTGCCTTCATTCTAATCTTATACCATGCTGGTTATTCCCACAATAGCACCAATAACCTCAGAAGAAGCACCGTCCTCGGCCAAGTACCCCAACACTTCTGACTACGAAGAGGTGTTCATTTCTGCTGTGGATAACCCAGGTCACTTCTGGATACAACTGGTCCGCACTGGGGATGCCCAGAAACTTGATTTGCTTATTGATACTCTGACGAATGACGCTGCAGCCAGCAGTGAAAATGACGTTGTAGATTCTGTTGAGGTAGGCAAGCATGGGACATTGTTTGTGTATTATTTTTTTTTTGGCAAATTCTTGGAGTGCAACCTCATGACTCAAATTCTCTTGAGGTATAAATAAGAATGAAACAGCCACCATGTTGGTTGATCTAGTACGAGAAACCAACAAGGAATGCTTTCTTTAATAATAAATGAATAATGATAATAATAATGAATATTTTTAAAGGCCTCTGTCTCTTTTGCAAGTGATTTTCAGTAGAGTCCTCTTAACAAAAAAAAAGTCAATAATAAAAAAGCATAAAATATAAAATAGATAAAATATAAAATATTTACCAAATAAACCAGCTTTTTCTGTGCTCCGTTAAGTAATAAATATCACTTTCCGCACGCGGATAGCRTCAGCACTGTGCTCCGTTCACTAATTAAGCACAGTTTTTGACCAATCAGCACGAGCGTACTATCCTAACTATAGGATAAATAAATAAATCATTGTCGACCAACATGTTGGCTATGACGTGACATACGTTGAATACTGGTCAGGTGTAATATATTAATGTACTTTTGAAATTAATTGCATATGATGATTAATAATCTTATATTAACTATTGTCCAGGTTGGAATGGTTTGTTCTGYGCCTTTCTCCCATGATGATTCCAGATACCGTGCAAAAGTCACTCAAATCAACGATGATGGAACAGTGGCCTTATATTATGTGGATTATGGGGACTCAGATGCCGCAGTGCCCAAATACAGGCTGAGAAAACTCAAGTAGGTTGAATATAGGTATAGGTAATCATCTAGTTGCAAGTGCAATTTGGAATTCACAAGTGGGTTCCCCAAAGAGCTAAAATAGGATGAGCCAAATTGTTATCATAACATCAAAACATCTTGTTAATAGTTTTCTTAAGTTTGTTGATGAATTTTAAGATTTTCTTTAGTGTTTTAACATTAAAATTAAAACTTTTGTTTTTGTTTTTGTTAGTATTTTCTAAGTTTCTTTTAATAATGATAAATTCAAGACTTATGATCAATTATGATATATTTTATATTTTTCATATCGAGAGTGATGGCATAGTTTCCTTAGTATGAGAGGCAAAAAACTATTTTTTTTTGTCTTTTAGGGAAGAACACTTGCAGCTACCCTTCCAAGCAATCGAGTGCTACCTAGCAAACACTAAACCTAAAGGTAAAAACTGTTTTCAAGTACTTGAAGTATCATATGACTTACAGCCATTTGCATTGCTACGAGGCACCCCAGAGAAGCGATCGTGACGTGCACTTTGCAATAGACTGCCGTCAATCAAACACATTGACGTCATTTACACGTGTTTGGATCAGCCCTGATAGGCCCAGTGAGTGTGGCTCATAATACTTTGGTGCCTTTTGAATCACACACGCATGTAAATGACGTCTATGTGTTTGATTGACGGCAGTCTATGGYAAAGTGCACGTCACGATTTTTGTCTGGGGTGGCTGCGTAGCAATGCAAAGTCCAAATTTTAAGATTCRGAACATGGCCTACTCCCAAACTCAATATAACGCCAAGTTCAGGAATCACACTTGAGAGCCAGAAGTGACGAGCCAGTGCACTWCCACTACACCCATTCTTTGGGAAAATCTTTAAATCAACAAAAACATATTCTTTTTTGTGTGATATGATTTTAGATGGTACCTGGGAAGATAGTGCTACTGAAGTATTCAAGAACCTAACACACTATCCTGACTGGAAGGTCATTGTGGTCAAAGCAATCAAATACTGTGGGGATATACCTTGTCTTGATGTCTATGACACGGTGACGGCACAGGTACTGCACTGTAAGATGTTCACAGCTACTATCCCTGGTTCTACCTCCTTTGTATTGTATTGTATTGTCATTCCCTTGAGTATTATTTCTTTCTTTGCTATGAATGCTTTTCAACTATGGTGCAATGTTTTCCCATTTCAGACCATGTGTCATTCCCTTGAGTATTATTTCTTTCTTTACTAGGAATGCTTTTCAGCTATGGTGCAATGTTTTCCCATTTCAGACCATGTGCCATTCCCTTGAGTATTATTTCTTTCTTTACTGGAAATGCTTTATAGCTATGGTAGAATGTTGTTTTTTTTCATTTCATACCATGTGTCATCCTTTTGTACTATAGAATTTTTCTTTGTTTTCTCAGGATATTTGGGTCAATGATGAAATGATTAAGAGAGGATTTGCTGTTGAGGACACAGGATACCCACCACAACAACTTTCAACACCAGCAGARAGCAAATCAGAAGGTAGGAATGTAAGTGAACTATTTGATAAAAAGTGTAATAAARTGGATGTGACTCCTCTGGTTCCAATTTGTSTTAAGGGACCATTCACTTTTTATGCGCAGTCGGCTGCYGGGATTTAKTGGGGACACGTAAACAAATTTGGCGTYTAAGRGGRGCCACCCCAAAWATAATAAGCTMAATAGAAAATTTATTTTAAGAAATTATTCTGTTTTAATAGGGKGCCACGTAACTAAAATTCAGGCTGGGAAGAAGCCATACATTTTTCAGTTGCAATTCACAAAATCTCACCARCTGCCCCCATGCCCGTGAAAWGAACGGTTCCTAAACAAATTGTTTTTCATGTAGGTAAAGATGTGACTAAGATAAAGAAAGATGAAAACTTGTCCCACGAGATGTCTTCGGTAACAAACATCACCTCACCTCGGGAACAGTCCCCCCACGATGAAAAAGATGCAGGTGAGAGCCTGGATCTACATGYCAGCGGCCCAGTCTCCCCCGAGAATTTCTCGCCAATTAAGAACGCGAAAGTGAAAAGAGTTTCCAAGGACTATATCGAAACTGCTCCTAAAGGAGGAGCTGAGGCATCAATAGGTGTTATTTCTGAAGAAGGAGCGCGGGAGGGACGTTCTGCAGTCATCGAGGAGCCGCTATTTCAAATGGGAGCACAACCTCAAGTTGAATCTGCACCGGAAGTAGCGCCTATACCGGAAGTTGGATCTTTAACGGAAGTAGAATCCGCGCCGGAAGTTAAATCTGTACCGGAATTAGAGTCGTCCCCCGGAACAACTGGTATGTACGAGTCAGAAAGTATTTATTTTCCTTCCTCGGGAATGAATCAAATGTCAGGCGTTGATTCAAATACGTTAGAACCTAAACCGGGAAAAAAAGATATGGGCCAACCGGAAGAAAAAGATATGGGCCAACCGGAAGCAAGCGCTTCTAGTTTTTATTCTCCCAAGAAAAATACGTCACAGATTCTCAAACCGGAAGTACAGGAAATGATCCAAATTGAAGTGAGCAAGGCATTTGAAACAGAGCTCACGCCATCTCGCAACATTGTCACGCAATCTGCCGTCAGAGGTGGTAGTGAAAATGATGATTCTGAGAGAGAGAAGCTTGATGTTGCTGATTCTGGGATAGGCTTGAATGATAAAAATGACAATGAACCCAAACATGTGGAAACTACTTTAAACGTCAGTGTGAACTCTCAGCCGTCAGTCCTTGTGATTGACACCAAGGGTAAAGATGATACCAATGATGATGATGATGATGATGATGACTTAGAAACCTTTACTTCGACTTTCCAAAAACAAGTCCAGGCCAAAAAGACGTTCGTGTCATCCGTGACTGTCACGTCAAACAAGCAAGCAGCTGTCACGCTAGTGCCCAGCTATGAAAAGAAAGAATACGTGACAGAAGTGTCKGGTGAATCATCCAAGAAGTCTTACGCTCAAGCAGTTAGGTCTTCAAAGGAATTGAACCAAGAAGAAATTGACTCTTTGCAGAAGTCTATCGCTGGGAATCAAGTGAAAGAGGGGGGACTGGRAACGATTTCTGGTAACCATGGCAACGTGTTTACCGTGCAACAAATTGAAATCCAAGCAAAACCCGACGGTGCAGTTGTCGTTGGTCCAGACGTCAATCACGTGACAAATAGAACCAATGAAGATGGAGCTTCTAACTCAACCAGTCAGACCGAACAAACCAGTTTGCCTACCATGGAGRGAGTAACAAACGGAAGAAAAGCTGATAGACGTAGTCCAGATACTGTTGACAGCGATTCTGAGTCCTACGTCAGTGCTCTAGATGAACCAGCCTCTGACACTGATACTACCAGTAACTACGAGACAGCCGCTGGCCCAACAAGTAGCAGCACCACGTCACTCGATTATAAAACAGCAGATAATGATACTGATACAGATACGTTAAGATCACCTGGAGAAGAGGGAGGAACCCCAGTCAACTCAGACAGCGATGATGATGATGATGATGATGAGTACTATGATACCGATGATGAAGATGACAGCGACGCTGGTGATAAGACACCTAAGAGGAAAGCATCTGAAGGGAATGATGATGAAGTTACRCCTACCCAGTCAGTGAAGACGGCTGCGAAGTATTTGTCGGATTTGGATCTCGGGTACCGAGGTGATGCCGAAGATACGACGGAATCACGCGAAGATCTACGATAATCAAACATTTGGATTTTGGGTACCGAGACAATGCCGAAGATTAGACGGAATCTCTCGAAGATCTACGATAGTCAAATATTTGGATCTCGGGTACCGAGGCGATACCGAAAATACGACGGAATCATGCGAAGATCTACCACAATCAAACTTTTTTTGTCCTTTGACTTTAGTACTATTGCCAGTTTAACTTTTCATTTCGTAAGTAAAACCCAAGTTTTTTGTACTTGGAAGTCTACCTGCCTCAACCCTCWCCCCTCCCCCTCCTCAAAAAAGGAAAGAAAATAATAAGCTTAAATAAAAAGTCGAGCTAATAATGTTAAAAACTAATCATAATGGCTCTTGACCTCAACATGAAAATGACGCTTTATTCGTTATCATGTTTTCCCCTAAATAGTCTTTTCCAGTATTCGCTTGAGTGACCACTAAACAATTGTTTCAAGTCGAGGTTGGTCTTGATAAAATACAGTAAATGTATGAACACACCAAGTCCAACCTCGAGTTGGTTACCTGAAAAAAATTCTCAAGGTAACGGAATTTTTATAAATATTTTTTGCTAAAGCGTCCTTGAGAGATCAATAGTTATGGCTTACATTTGAAATTTAGCCCATTTCGGGTTTGGAAAAGAAACTAATGGTGCGGACTGATACACGATTCGATGTTCAATGCGTTCCTTCTGCGAARGGTAAAAGAGCAGATATCAGACTATTGCCTTCAAACAATTTTCAGKTTATATATCCATCGTATTGATGCAAAGACCTTGACTTGAAAAATTGTTTAAAGGTGTAGTGCGTACCAAATATCCGTGAAATACTTTGTAAGAAATCCACAAATTAGTAAGTTCAGTAGACTTSAGAAGACCGTAGACSTACAAAACCTTGCACTAATTTGTACTTTTTTAAAAACTTTTTCACGGATATAGARGATATTACATGGGYGCGCGGAGATACGAATTTTATCTTCGAGTGTTCAATTGATTCAGTTCGCTGCGCTCACTCGTGAGATATCTAAATTAAAGATAATAGAAGATAAAATTCGTATCTCCAAGCGGCCATGTAATGTTCTATTTATTATATAGATATCGATGAAACTTAAATAAAACAAGTGCTTAAAAATTCTTTATTTCTTTATTCTTTATTGTCAACAGCGATATCTTCACGTGTGAAWGATATGGTATCTTCCACTGGTGAAAGATATCAAGTTTTCGACACTAGAGAAAACCTGGTATTTCATCGATATCTATATAATAAATATGGTATCTACTCTAATAGTGTAACACGGATATCTGCTATAGACACCTTGCAGCACGTCGGARTGCAGTTCAATTTGGAGGACATAACAATAGGTTTCCAGTTCTYAGGAGATTGAAATTATTTTGTTTTCCCCTMCAAATYGAGCAGCTTTGACGTCACATGCAAGRGATCTATTGCACTAAGTGTCCAGTCCTATGAAGCTGCGTGCGATTGACATTGACGACTCTTTATAACTAGWTGACGTCGTGGAGACTTTTCGCCCAGAGCAAATCTTGTTAAAAATAGATAAATTTATTGCTCTTCTTTGGTAATAAAGCTAATATTCATTAATGAAAAATATTTTTGGTATCACGTGACTAATGCGATTTCTTGGACATATAGACAGTGTATAAGGGCCCGTCCATACGTATCCGCAAATTTTTTTTTGCGGATACGGTTTGCGTCCACACGTGTCCGGAAATTTTTGTATCCGTATCCGGGAATTTTCGAAAACGGTCTCCAGAGTGGAAATTTTCGAATACGCTCCGAATACGGATACGTGTGGACGGTCGTATCCGCAAATTTTCGAATACGATGACGTAAACACAATTTTGCGCATGCTCAATAAGAAAAACTATCTGTCAAAGGGACTAGGCACTAGCGTGCATCAGAGCGGATCAAGGAATTTCCGGATACGTGTGGACAGTGAAAACGATTCGAATACGTTGCGTGTGGACGCGAACATTTTCGTATCCGCAAAAAAAAAAAATTTGTGGATACAAAAATTTCCGGATACGTGTGGACGGGGCCTGAATAACCAAACGCGCCATTACTGATTCAATGGACTACTTCAATGATACGGCGGCCATCTTGCCAGGGGGCAAAACGAAACAAAGATRRCTGAAARTATACAGWGTTTCGTGTGTTTGTCTTTCTTTTAWGGGTAAAGGTGATCGATKTTCCGTTTTTATCTTTTGTTGTATTCTCTTWTSTTGAGCTATCAATATCGATCGRCRYCATTACTGTTTTCCCCCAGGACGGCCCATAATGCATTGGGATTCAAGATGGCAGCCGTATCGTAGAAGTAGTATAGCCAATCCTAAGTTGGGGGAAAATCTGGGTYGAGTTGAAAATGCATCGTGGGACTGTTTTAGGGTACGAAATAGATGCAAACGTGGCAATGCACGAGAGACCCCATTGGTTTCCTAGAGGAATTGTTCTGGGGGACAAAACAACAGGTCGTCTTTTCTTATGCCAAAAAAAAAAAAAAAAAAAAAATCCAGGGTTTTTCCCCTCAGAACAATTCCTCTCAGGACTCAGTGCGAGGGGTCCATACTTGCCCTGTCTCTAAGCTTTTCTTTTAATGTGGTCTGTAGTATTTGATCAGTGGTGAAGTGTATGTGAGCTGTCGCTTCGTCTAGAACAATGATCTTTCCATGAAGCAGTACGCGCACCACCCAGCGTGATTCGCGCTCTCCAACGCTAAAATTCGGACACCTTGAAAGAGAGCCCTTCGTAGCTGTCCCATTTGTACACAGTGGTCAGCATCACGCATCAAGTGTTCAAGATTAAACGCAATCTCGTACCCAGAGCCCTTATTTCTTACTACGCATACTCGACGAAATAATTGGGCTCTGGAAAACTCCAATATTTCCTGTGCTGTGATTGGTTCTCATGAGAACAAAGGAAGATACCGGAAGTAAAAATTACTAGGGAAAATAAACAAGATGGCGTCTCGAATTAAGTACACCAAAAAAGCCTGTAGGGCCGGATTTTTCATATTTTTGCCGGTTTTGTAATGGAAATTGTATTGATGTCCATCCAATAGATATTTTCGGAGTTAATTCAACTGAAAACCATCTTCAAAACCTAATTTTCCAAGCGCAAATTCGCATGCTCGTTGAACATCGTCCGCCATTTTGAATTTACCTAGTCTGTCATAATGCGCATGTGCGAGAAACCCGGAATCTGGGTCTTCCGGTTTGGAGTTTTTCAGAGTCCAATAAGCCTTTTCATAGTTTAATAATCGATTCCACTGCGCATGCGATTTTATCCCGAATTTCTCACCTTCTTTTGACTAAACCTTCTTTTGTTCTTAATTAAACAAAAGAAGATGAGGAATTCGGGATAAAATCGCATGCGCAGCGGAATCGATTCTTAAACTATGAAAAGGCTTATTATTTCGTCGAGCATGCGCAGTAAGAAATAAGGGCTCTGGGTACGAGATTGGATTAAACTGTAAAAGATTCCGTGAACAACATTATGTTTTTGTGAGATATATACAAGCAATAGCAGTCCTACTATCCCACCTGTCACAAGCTGACATAATAGAAACTTTTAGGCAATCAGAATCAAGAAAATTTTCAAAACTGAGGTTTCACTTTTTYCTCTTGAATYTATGGATTTCCAGGCCACAAAATAATAAAAAAAGCGTTGCTGATAAAAGGTTGATAACAGTTACATAATAACTGGGTTTTGTATTTTTATCACAATGGTGGACAGGTTTATATTTTCACAATTTACACAGGCTTCAAATTACTCAATTTTGCAGTGACTTTATTTATACGCCAGCATTTCAGATCAGCTGGCAACTAAGGTTAATGACGGCATCAATTTTGATATTCCTAGAGTAATGCAGTAGCAGATATCGGAGTTACACTCTGTTGCCTTCAAACAATTTTTTCAAGTCGAATCATTTGGATCAATACAATGAAGTGTATAAAAACTGACCCAAATGTAACAGTTGTCTGAAGACGATATCTGCTAATCAGGCGTTCGGGGCAGCGCTAAAATAATCAACAAATTTCGTATTCCCAGTTCTAAAAATATCAAACGTCAACAAGTTTCTATTGGAAGTTGGCCAAAATTTGTGCAAATATTGTATTGTCATTAATGTTCAATTTAAAAATTCCTTAATCCAAGTCGAAGACGTGCCGACTAATACATCTGCAATTCATTCGGGCTAATTAAGTGCCAAGAGTTTGTAGACCCCACACAGATAGATTGCAAGCCATGTATCCGTGGAAAAGCTAAATAACGAAAATGTGGTGTACGGTTTAATGAATTCACTAATCTGTGCAATTTCTTTCTTTCACGGGTATATGATATGCACTCCGTGAGGGGTCTACAAACACCGTAGCATAGAAATTTATTGCCATATTTATAATTTTGGCTTTGTTTCCAAGGATTATGAAAACGCACGTAATTGTTTTTCCAACTMTGTAATTTGGTTGTTTTGGAACTAAAGTTTTGTAAAGATATTCAGTTTTAAGAAAGGAAATGTAGAAGCGAGAGTGRAAAGATTTTAAAATAATAATCAAAAGGTTTTCTATTTTTGAACTAATCAAAAACAAAGGTTTTATGGTGAGACCTGTTTACTTTTTTGTTTTTGTTTTTGTTTTTTTTGTTTTGTTTTGTTTTTTTGTTTTTTTTGTTTGAGAGAGAGAGAGAGAGAAATAATGAAGGAAAAGAAAAGAGAGAAAAATGAAGTCTGCAACTAAAAAGAAGAAGAAAGAGAAAAAATGGATTTTGAAATCGATTGCGCAAATAATATATTTTTTTCGTCAGAATAATAAATGAATTTAAGCGATATCATATTAAAACTAAAACCTTCTTTACCTAAAATTGCTTTATTAAATAGCCAAAGATTTCCCCTAAACTTAAAAATGATTCTTTTAAATTTTCTATCATAGTCCAATAAGACTAATTTTAGCTTTTCTAATTTATGTAAACCACTTGGCAGGTGAGCATAAACATTCTCTCTTGCGTAACCTTTAATAAAATCCTGGCAAGTTTTCCTTTATTTTCTTTCCTTTGTTATTTTCTATTTTTTRTATGACCACGAATTTAACTTTAGAAAAGAAAAAAAATCTGAAATCAATATAAGTTTAGTACACTTCGTTAGAAATTGTACAAACTCACACAAATTAGTAAGTTCAGTAGCTAGTAGACCTCAGTAGCCGGCAAACATTTAATCCGTGAAACACTAATTACTAAATAGTACATAATAGTGCTAATTAAATAATTTGCTTGAAATTGTACTATTARATATAACTAAAGTTTCACGGATTTACTGTGGTCACTCTAAACCGTAGTCCTACAAAACTTTGCACTAATTTGTAAAATTTTGTRAGTTAACTTTYTMACCGATATATCGTATCTTTCTAGTTTCATTGTCTGTTGCGCACATTTGAGTAAACATTCTTGGGAGTTGATTGTTTCATATGTAAATTTTGGATCATTTTCTTAATAAAAGAACAACGAAACTCCGTGACTGATCTGATATGCGTAATTTGGATACGAAGCTAAAAAAGGTCCGTTATCAAACGTTGCAACATTTCCACATAACAGTTTACAAGCACGAAATGAAATACACAGGCTCGCGTCGTTTGTATATCAATTCAAATTTAACTTTCTAATTGTATTGTTGATTCATATTTTTTTTCTCAAATAAACGCAYAAATTTAGAATGGAAAAAGGACGCTCCTTTTGGTGTTTGCATTGAGGTACTACTTAGCCAAGAAAGCTTGTACTGGGATAGACGAATCAGAGGCCGAGATACAGTGGGTCTATGCCAAATGGACCGCGCAAGAACGTAGCTTCATTTCACGCATAAAAGCTGCGTTTGAAGCTTAATACGTTCTCATCTCTCTCGAGCTCCTACATCGATACGCACCTCGATTCAAGACTATTACAACATCTTTATAAGATTTTAAGGTAAGCTTTCTAAAATTTATAATTCATTTTTTTCTACTAAATATACGAAAATAATTTTGTTTGATATCTGGAAAGAATACGCGCAATGATTTTGGACCGATTTCTAATGCGTATTTTTTTATTAGCCAGAATATAGAACTACGTTTTCAAAAATATCTCGTAAAGTAAAGTATTTGGCACAAATTTGCGCGGATTTGATTCAAGTTCCTTAAAACGAAATGTCTATGAGATTTCAAAGCACATTCGTCRAAAAATTCTGTTACATATTTTTAATTTGAAAGTTTATATTTGGTATGCGTATTAGTTAGAGTAGAGCCATTGGTAAGAATATGCTACGTTTTCAAAATTGTCGATATTTTTCCCTTTTCCCTTTTTCCTTTTTTTTTTTTTTTTTTTTTTTTTTTTTTTTTTTTTTTTTTTTT